CGGCCGGTGGAGTACGAGTGGAGCTCCAAGGATTTCAGCATTGGAAGCTTCTCCAGAAAAGAGTCAGATTCCACACCAGGAATTGCAAAGCCATACAGGGTCAACGACGTCAACTTTCTGAAGGATCCTGAGAACCATACTCTGCTCAAAGTCACTGGACACCACTGTGCAGTTTCTTCTTCCCACAGAAGAAATTCCAAAATGCGGAGCCTTTTCAAAGCACCAAAAAGCAGGAAAACGTACTCCCAGTTGATGACATCCTCTAGGGCCAGATCTCCAACAAATCATTAAGTGGAGTTCCTCAAGGCTATCTTGAGTTGCGATAACGACTGATTGGAGGATCGCCACCAACTGCGTTGGCCTTTCAACATCCAGAGCAACCTTTTTCAACGGACTCATTCTGTCTTGTTGGCGCACCATGTAACACAGGAAGGCATCCCCATCCTCAGGCCTGTCAAACTGCCAGTCCAGACACCCAGATCATTGTGTGCACAAGCCTCTGAAACCTTTTGCAGACCGACTCCAACCACATTCTTCCGTAACCCTTCTCCTCCATTCCAAAGTCATGAGGACTCCACAGGAATTTCTCGAAAATGCCCCCCAAGAGATCATCGCTTAGGCGATCGAAGTGGTTCACACGAGGCTCCATCGCTGCAGAAATTCCAAGCGGCCAAAGACGCAGGAAAGATAAATATATTGTGCTCACTCTACAAATTCAATTATCTGCTTGTTATGAAGATGCTCTCCATAGAGGTTATAAAGGAAGGTGGCGACCATTTAGCTCTTTGCGCACAGTATTGGTCGCGACTGCCCTTCAAAGAACGATGATCCCCTCATCGCACGGCTGGCACTTCATGTTTAGTAATTCACATGCAGATGGACGGTCGAGACGCTGGAGACGGAGGCTCTCCTTGAAAGATTCTGTTGGCAGGCTCGATATCATGCTCTCATGCATCAATTATCTCGATTATCCTATGGATGTTGCATGCAGCCGGAACATCTCAGCAAAAACACCGCGCGGTGTTCCAAAGTGCTACCCCAGAAAAAGCCGGGTAGCGAAAGTAAAATTTTTCGGACCGTCGCACGGGACTACTTTTGCCTGCGGAAGGTACCCCCCGAAGTCGCGCCGGGAATTTGGGCAAAACAACACCTTGACTCTTGAGTTCTCGGCGAATTGCGAAAAAGAACACCCGCCCTGTAGTGTGTGTGTAAATTACCCTCTTTACCCTCAGCCTGTCCAGATTCAAATGGCACAACACTGGAGCTGGCGCCCATTGTTGATCGCCCAGACGTTTTAGATGGCCCGGATAAAGCACACCGCTGTGAGATTTCCGAAGTTTGGGGCAGCGGTGTTGGCGGAGGGGGCCGCAGGAGCAGCGGGCAGGACAGTGGCTGCTGAGGGCAGCGGTGCGGGGACTGTGCCTGCAGCGAGCAGCGGTGCGAGGACTGTGCGTGCAGCGGGCAGGCGGTGC